GGCAGAGGGTAGATGTAGGCTAGATATCAGGAGGCGCTACTTCACGGTCAGGGCGGCTAGGATCTGGAACCAACTTCCAAGAGAAGTGGTGCTGGCTCCTACCCTGGGGGTTTTTAAGAGGAGGTTAGAGGTACAACTCTCAAGGATCTTGCCATTTAATTCTGTTTGGCTTACAAAAACTCAATTGTTCTTTCCTCATATATTACCTTAAATACTGTAACCTGCTCCTTTGTGGTCTACTACACACATCACTCAGTTTAGTGCATTTAGAATTCTATTTCTCAAATCATTTTCTTTGCCCATCCGTCTAACCACTTCCTAATATCCAACCTAATTTTTCCCTTGTTACAGTTTGAGACTCTTCCTTCTAAACCTGTTGCCTACAGCCACAGGGAATTATCTATCTCCATCCTCTTTATAATCAGATATTTAAAGACGGTTATCAAACCCTGTTGTCAAATTAGTCTTCTCTCCTCCAGACTAAATAATCTTAGTTCTTTCAGCCTTTTTACACTTAAGTCATGTCTCTCAGACTTCTAATCACTTAGTTATTACATGCTTCTGGGCTTTGCTGGTCCTCACATGGGGCCAGGAAGGAATTTTTTCTCTCCTTTTGCTACATGTAACAGTTTTTTTTGCTTTCCTCAGAAGCATTGAGTGTTGGCTGCAGCCAGTCCTGGGGATTTTGACTCAGGTGTGGTAATGTTTCTGCTGGGATTTAAAATCTGGAGGTTTCTGGATTAAGGATCTTGCTCCTCCACACAGACCTATCATCACATTTGAGATCAGGAACAAATGTTACCCCACTGTTAGACTGGTATTAATTGGGGGAGTTTTTACCCTCCTCTGTAATATGGCCATACCCCTGGGTATTGGCCTCTTCCTTAAACCTCTTGGTGGGCCTAATAGTTGTGCCAGAAAGTTGTTTGTGAAGTTTTTAAGAATAGGTTAGAGAAACACTTGTCTAGGATGGTTTGACAGGGATCCTGCCTTAGGCAGAGGGTTGGACTAGGTGACCTCATGAGGTCCCTTCCAGTCCTATTTTTCTGTGATTGTCTGCATCCCTCAGTCCTCTCCTAAGCCTCAGAGCTCCTGGGTCTGCCAGGCCATAGGGAGCTCACTGAGAGAACTTGGGAGTGTACTGTCAGGGAAAAGGACTTCCTGCAAGTTTCTTGCTCCTCCATTTCTGAAGGCTTCCTTCTCCTGGCACATCAGAGCTCCTACCTTGAGCAAGCAAACAGGGACACTCACCGATCCAGTCAAGTAGGACAATGAAATGCCAAAGAGCCTCCCCCACGCAGCACCAATCAGCAGGGATGGGATGAAGACCCCTGCAGACACTGTGAGGCCATAGGTCCAGCAGGCCAGAAAGAAATACATCAGCGTGAACATCCCTAGGGTCATGGGGTTGTAAGTGCCTGCAGAGAAAGGAGGCCATGTCAGTGCATGTTGCCTCTTCTGCCCCCTTGAGCTCATATACTTCTGTGGATCATATTCTGGCAGTGTGAAAGGGCAAATGTCAGCCCAATAAGGGCAATCATATCAATGCCACTGCCTGGATGCAATAAGGAGATGCTGGTCGAGCAAGCCAATTCCATCTGCACATGAGCACCAGCACTCAAGGTACTGAAGCCCCAAGCAGACAGAAGTATTTCCCAGGCATCTCAGGATGGGGATTTGTCCCCCATCTCAAGCCCTTCATCTGCCATCCAGCACGTCAGCACCAGCCTGATTGCTTTCCAGGCTAATGCCCCTCTGTGTGCAGCTAAGGCAGTTATGGGAACAATGCATGGAAAGTCTCAAAGGAGAATCAGTATTTCCTAATAGAAAGGCAAAGAACTGGCAGAGGGGTAGCACAATGTGGGAGGCATTACAAAATAACCATTCCCTGGCCCTAGGTTTGCAGGGGCCTCTTGCTAGACAGCTTCAGAAAGGTGATGGTGATAATGTTAAATAATGAAACCCTGGAGGGCCTTTCCCACTACACAATGGCCCTACCTCCTACTGCTGGAGCCCAGTACGCAGAACTGCTGGTGTTTCTTAGCAGTCCATAGATGAATTATGAGTTACAGGAAAAACCCTCTCCTCCCATCAGTATTAAGCCTGTTGACTTTCAATCCTGTCAAGTTCCCCCAAGCTTGCATTCCAAGGGGTGGTGGAGATTGAGCATACACCCTCCTTCCCTTCTCCCACCCCCCTATATGCACCTCAGCAGTCTCTCAGTCCACTTCTGTCTCAACTAACCTGAAGTTCTGTGTCTCCTGCTGCAAACTACTGCACTTCTTCCCTCTTTTCATTAATATTAAACTCCAGTTCTAGTGCAGATCTCAAATCCCCTGCTCCTAAGCTTTTGCCATGATTCTACCTGACCAGTTAATCTGCTGCTTTGTTTCGCCAGAATAATCCTTTGCCTCATGTTTCATGAGGATTTTGTTTCCTTACCAGACACCTGTAAAGGATTTGTCTAACACTTTGGAAACCCCAGATTAGCTGTGCCAACCAGTCCTTTCTATGTTACTGGGACAGTTGAGAAATTCTAATAAACTTAGGTGCAGTTTTTCTCAGGAGAAGCTGGTCTGGTTAGACCATCATCCCACACTCCTCTAGAGCTCTGTTTCATTTTTAAATCCCGTACCAAGTTCAGCGCAGGAAAGGTCCCTGCGATAATTACTATGAACAGCCCTTCTGTCTTTTGAAATTAAATGGAAGGAAAGTTTTGATAGCTACAATGAAGCTGCCCTACTGTATGAGGACTTGCATAAAATGGAGGCCCTTGTTGCAGGGCCTGAAACGCAGCCCTTTCCCTAAACATAACCCCCACCAGCACTCTCCTGACATACAATACTAGGCAATAACCATTTAGTATTGCCAGGTAACTTAGCATCCTAGTTTGACCACTTTTATCATCTTTACTGACTGAGGACTCTGACCTACAATATACAGCTGGGAGAATGGTCAGGGACCACACAAGTTTGGTTATAGATAAAGCAGGTTCCCTGGGTACCATAGGTTTTCTCTATATACAAAAGTCACTGCTACTTTTTCTGTAGTTGCCATCAAGTGTCTACAACTTGGATTCTGTATCAAAAGGCTTGCTGTGGAATTTAATTGGCTGTTCTAGGAGAGGTAGAGGTGTCATTTAGATTAAAAGATAGGACTCTCTGGGGCACTCGAAATTAAATGCTATTTCACAGACAATCTAAAGAGTGAAATTCAATCCAGAAGGTAAATTCATTTATGAGCAAGAAACCCAGGTAATCAATCAAGTAGCAGCCAAGAATTGCAGCTTCTAGAGGGAATGTGTAAAACAGATCAGAAAGACTGAAGAATGGAGAAGGCTTTACTACTCTGTCACCACAAGGCCTCTGTGGACTATAGCCACTTCCCAAAGTTTTCATCGGCATCAGAATCTCCTCCCCTTTGAGCACAGGGGGTATAATACTAACCTTAAACAAAGCACGGATGGAGGGGAGGGGGGCAGAAATTTTCAAGGATGCCGTAGTAAAAGAAGAACTTGTGGATAAAATGTAGCGCAGTGGTTCTCAACCTTTTTAGACTCAAGGCACACCCTCCATGACTTCTGTGAGTTAAGTGGCACCCAATTTCAAAAACAAATGTATACAGTATAGTGCTTACCCTCCTTGGAGAGGGGCAGGGCAGTGGGGGTGTAGCAGGGTTGTTCAGGCAGAGACAAGCATTAGCCTGCATTTATCTTCATTACTTATCTGCTTATCTACTCACACCTCAAAGCACCCTTTCAAAGGAGCTGGCAGTACCCCAGGGTGCCCTGGTACCTTGGTTGAAAATCACTGATCTAGAGGATGCGAAAGCTTCATGTCATTGGCTCCTGCTGCACATAAGGCTTTGATCACTCAAACTCAACCTACTCACATCTGTCTAGGGCCTATGCCACTTTTTTACAAGCAAAGAATCACAGGGTTGGAAGGGACCTCAAGGGTCATTTAGTCAGAGATACAAGATAAGCTGTTGTTAAACCACCCCAGACAGATGCCTGTCCAGCCTCTTGTTGAAAACTTCCAGTGAAAGGGATTCCACAACTTCCTTGGGCATTTTGTTCTGCTGTCCTATAGTTCAGAGAGTTGGGAAATTTTTACTGTGATTTAATCTGAAACTGCTTTGCAGCAGCCTAAACCTATTGTTTCAAGTCCTGCCCTCTGCAGCAAAGGAGAAAAGTTGTTCTTTCTCCTCTTTATGGCTGCCTTTCCAAAGTTTAAATACTGCTATCATTTCCTATCTTCCAATCTCCTTTTCACTGAACGAACCATATGTTTCCTCATATAACTTGCACTCCCACTGCTTTATCATCTGTCAATCACCTCTGGATCCTCTCCAGTTTCTCTACATCCTTGTTAAACTTAAAAAAGTTACAGTAACCCAGAATTATGCACCATAGCACTGGTTAGGCCTCAGCTAAACTAAATGGAAAGGTGTTATCATCTCCCATGTTTTACATGCTATACTCCTGTTAATGCAACCCAAAACAGCATTTGCTTTTTCAGTAATTATGTTACAGTGCTTGCTCACACCAAAGGTCTTTCTCTGCAACTCTACTGCTTAGCCAACCATCTCCCATTATGTTTTGGTTTTCCCTCCTTAAGTTTAGCCCCTTACATTTGCCTTTGGAGAACTGCACACAAGATAACAGAATGAAATTCAATGATCTACTGGTATCCTTTTGAATTTTCCTCCTATCTTCACAAGTTTTTAAAGCCCTCCCAAGTATGCCATCTACAAACTTGATCAAGCAGGAAGAGCAAGCTTCGTCCAACTCATAAATAAAAATGTTAAACAGCACCTAACCCAGAGCAGATTCCTGTGAACCCCAATTGAAATAGGTCACTGATTTTTCTCCAAAACATAGAAGACCCATCCCAAGTTACAGAATTTTACAAGCAAGTAAAGCAAGAACAATGCAGAAAGTTCTGATGTTTTGACAAGGAGTCAGTGGAGACTGGCTAGTGCACCAAGTAACAACTTGGGGACAAAGGATTTCGTAAAAGGTTTATGATGACACTCTCTATTTTCAACTTCTAAAGGTTTGCTGAGAGGGATGGAAGGAGAGAAGCAGCTATAGTGAGCAAGAATTAGCAGATAAAGGGTGGTAACAAATACCCTTCCCCCTACAGATTTCAGTGGGCACTGTTCTGGCCAGAACTGCCCTCATCAGCACCTCGCACAGTATGGTCTTCACTGTGTATAAATGATGGACAACATATCTGGCAGGAGCCTTGCTCTTCTCCAGAAAGGAGGGAGGTCTTTTCTGGAACTCTTACTGACTTGCACTCGGCCCACAGAGCAGGGAGCATCAGGGAAAGGGGGTGGTATATTTTGCCCCACAAGGGAGAGCTGCTACTGCTACCAAAGCAAGGAATGTATCCAGTGCCCCACTCCAATTTTGCTCATGTTGTTCCACCCATAACTCAGGTCCCATTACATGAGCAGTAACAAACCCGGAGGGTCATGAAAGAGGCTGACGACACTTTTCTCTGGTGTGTTGAAGAAGGCAGTGGCCATAGAGTTATACTCGCCATCGGCACAGAAGAGCTGGGGGGAAGAAAGAAAATGAATGAGTGTTTCTTTTAGAGCTGGGAAAGCCCACACAATCTTAGTACAGAAAAGCCTCCAGAGCACTAGAATTTGTTCAGAGGCAGCATGGGAAAGGGTGGAAAGCTATAAGGCAGTTATAACCAGGGATCCTGGTTTTCCACAATACAAAATCACAAACTTAAAATCCATGACTAAAATTAAAAGCCCCCCACGGACCTGCTAGTG